TGGACTATGGCCTTAGTATCAATCACGTCCCTCTTCGTTGTGATAATACTAGCGCCATAAGCTTGACGAAGAACCCTGTTCTTCACTCAAGGACGAAACACATTGACATTAGGCATCATTTCATTAGAGATCATGTTCTCAAAGGTGATGTCGAAATTGAGTTTGTTGAAACACACAACCAATTAGCCGACATTTTCACAAAACCTTTAGAGAAAGAGTCGTTCTTCCGCATTCGAAGTGAACTCGGAATCCTTGACTCCACGATGATCTAAGTTGTGCATCCAAATTTATTAAACATTTACTAACTTGAGCGTCGGAGAACTTTTTCTTTTTTGCAGGTACCCCGTTCATGAAATCAGGGGGAACCATGCAAACAGCGCTGTCCAGGAGACCAAACAGCGCTGTTCCCCTTTAAAACATCGCTGTCTACCCAAAACATTTTGTTTTCAACCAAAACCCGAAACCTTTTAAACAGCGATGTCTTACTCTCAACAGCGATGTCCTTTTTTTTTTTACAAATTTTTTCTTTATCGCAAAACAGCGATGTATGGATTCCCAACAGCGCTGTTCAAATGGGTTCAAACCCTTTTACAATTCCAGAAACTTTTGAAACATCGCTGTAGGGCACTCAACATCGCTGTCTGTTTAACTCCAATTTTTTTTAAACTTGACGTAGAACATCGCTGTACCAGACACAACAGCGCTGTCCTAACAGCGCTGTCGCCTGTAGAACATCGCTGTTCTGGTCAAAATTTTCAAAAAAAATATCCGTTGCACCTGCATTTATTGCTCCAACAGTCATATTTTTTGAAATTCTGGACGTTGGAGGCCTCCTTTTCTATAAATTGGAGCCTCCACTCCTCATTTTTTTCACACACAAACACAAATTCTATCCCTACCTCTTGCACATCTCACTCTTCTTACAATTTTTTTCAAATTTCTTCATCATGGGCAAAGATAAGAACAGGGCAGGAGCTTCCGGCAAATCCAAGGCCAAATCCCGGGCGCCTACGACATCTCCCGAAGAACGCCTCTACTACGGCGATGGGTCGTACCTTTGGTTTGACTCCGAGGAGGAGCGCACCCGGTTCCTCACCTTCTTCTCTAAACAGGTTGTGGCTCCCCCACGGCGGAGCGCTACCCGGAGCTGCAGGGCTACGACGACCTTGACGCACAGCTTCATCAAGCCGGCCTTTGGCCGTTCGTCTCCCGGGCTCGAAAGGAGATCAACCCGGCGCTAATCCGGGCCTTCTACTCCAACCTCCGGCGTGAGGACGACGTGCTCTACTCGCTTGTCAAGAGCACGCCGATTGAGCTCATCGTGGAGCAGCTTGGGCGCATCGCCGGCCTCCCCTTCCAAGGCGACGATGTGTCTCACTATATATGGCGGAGAGGACTGGGTGCTCAACAATGAGGGCCTTATCCTCAACGAGCTTGGCATCACCGAGCTCATTCGCCATGCCTCGGGCCGCCCCACCATCCACTCCGCTAACCCTGAAGGCCGCCTCGTCCTCTACATCGTCTCCCGGATCATCAAACCCAGGAAGCACGGCCACACCATCATGCACGGTGAAGACCTCAAGCTCATCCATGCGATCATGCATTCGGCCCCAATCAATTGGGCAAAGTTTGTCATGATCAACATGACGATTGCCGCGTCCACCGACCACGATCACCTCCTCCCGTACCCATTTTTGGTGATGGACATCCTTGAACGGTTCAAGGTAACCACCACCGTTGGCCCGCTCAAGAAGGCCACGAAGCTTTGGACAATCAGCAACCAAACCTTCACCAAGCGTTCGGACAACGCCGCGGCTGCCACTTCCGAGCCACGCCGCACTGCCCCTGCCGCTGGCCAGCCGAACCCCAGGCCCGGGCCAATCTTGCCTCCATCGCCGACTCCCTCAACCGGCTCCACCTCAAAGTTGACGGGATGGGAGGCTACCTTGAACGGCTAGACGTAGTTGTTCAACGCCAAGGGTACGCCATGAACGCGTACTTCCAAGGCATCAACTACGTCCCCCCACCGTACCACGGCACGTTCCTTGGGCAAGTGTACGGTGACGAAGACGAAGCCGATGACTCCTACACCCCGTCAAGCTCCCCGGATGAAGACGAGTTCGACGATGCCATCGATGGGGATGAGATGGACGTCGACGACGACGAGGAGGAAACCGAAGACGAAGACTAGGACTCCCCTAGAATTTCTATGTCTTTTACTTTAATTATCTTGTTTTTTTTTTGCTTCTGTCGTACTCCGCTATTTCGTTTAATAAATAAAATTATCTTTTATCTTTTTGTTAATGTCAAAAGGGGGAAGAAAAGGGCTATGCATATACTAAGGGGGAACGCCTCTATAAACGAGACCGTTTGTTTTTTAATCCAACTAAATTTTTTAAGCACAAATTAAGGGGGAACTTTTTCACAACCTTTTGAAAAACAAATATCCCTTAGTATGCATATCCCCGTCTTGTTTGCCATTATCAAAAAGGGGGAAATTGTTGGAACACGGGTTTACGCCTACGTCGTACTAAACTGTGTTCGTTTCTATGACAGGTTTTGATAATGCCAAACCGCCGTGACATAACAAGGCTAAAGAGAACAAAAACCAAGGCGAAGGAACATGGCATGATTTTTTGAGAACCAGGAACCCAGAATCAAGAACAAAGAATTAGAATTGTATTGAGTCGGTCTTAATGTGATCAAGACCGGCACAAACTTTCAAAAACTTGGCTCTCTAGGCTTCTCTCACCGAAATATCTTCTGCATATTCAAAAATATTTTTTCTAAAGTTTTCAACTTGGCTAAAAACGCTTGGAGTTCGCCCAGACCAAAAACCAAGCCATCCGGCGTTCAGTTTTCAGAAACCAGCGTTCGGCTCTCGATTTTCGGCATTGGTTTTTGGTGTCTGAACCAACCAAGTGGTTTTCAACTTTTTATGACTGGTTTTTACTTCTGGGCATATTTAAATAGTTCTCCAACAAAAACGCTTCAAAAACCACTTTCCGTTTTTGGTCGTTTAGTGAAAACCATGCGAAACGGCACGAACTTGATAGCCGTGGTTTTCAACTAAATGACGTGGTTTTTAAAATGTTTTACTTGATTTCTTAGCAAAATGCAATAAACAAATGTTTTCAATACTTGGTTTTTACTTTGGAGAACTTGTGTTTTTGACATCGGCTAACGGCGTGACTAAACCAACCATGGGTCTGGCTAAACCAGCCCAACAACGATGTTGAGGTAACCAACAGCGCTGTCTGGCTTGGGTAGCTAAAAACATGGTTTGGCGTTAAGTCCTCCAACAGCGATGTTGGACATTAGACACCGCTGTTGAGCCAAGGTTGGATTTCCAGAAACTTTTGGAACAGCGATGTAGGCTTCCCTACAGCGCTGTCCAACCTAAGCCAAAAATATAGTGCATTGGCAGAAAGTTTTTGGACAGCGATGTTAACCCAGCAACAGCGCTGTCAGGCCTTCCATATTCAAAGGCAGACCTAAACAGCGATGTTCTAGTATGGAACATCGATGTAGAGACCTGACCGTTGGAAGGAATTTAAGGCTAAAACTTTCCTTGTTTGGAAGTCAACAGCCAAAACAGCGATGTAGGGATTTTAGACATCGTTGTTGGCATGACCGTTGCTTCCCATTTTTCAAAACGCAAGCCTAGAACAGCGATGTCCAAGCCTAGGACAGCGCTGTCTGGGTGAATTTCAGCAGATCCAAATTTCATCAAATCCCACAAATTGTGCCAATCACCCCTTAAATACTTTGGTCCGTTGGAGCCTATTTTTCTTCTATAAAATGGGGTGTTTGGGTCTGTTTTACATATCACATTACTTCACAAACTCCTACTCCTTCATTGCAAATCATCCTTCAATTATTCATAGCTTTTGAGAGCCATTTTTGTGAAACTTGTGTTGTGTTCTTGAGCGTTCTTAGTTTACTCATTATCCACTCTAAAAGAGAGTATTGTTCTTGAGTGTTTTTAGTGTTCTTAGACACTTGACAAGAGAAGGTATTTCTCTTGTTGTTCGAAGGAAGGGCTGTTTCCTTCGAAGGTTCGTTGAGGTTCGTGTGACTCGAATTCTCAAGTTGTACGGGTTTGTTAAGCACCGTTAAGCTTAACGAGATAGTAGTGTAGCTCGAGAGAGTCTCTCGGGAGGCTGGATTAGCCACAAGTTGTGGTGAACCAGGGTAAAATCGGTGTGTCTCTTTACTTCTCGTTTATTCATTTTTTATTCCTGCGATTTCTTGATCAAACGCTATTCACCCCCCCTCTAGCGTTGGTCTATTATTCTAACAGGGGGATCGGATCTGTGTGGCTCAGAAAAAGAGCAGAGGAGGAAGAAGAAGAAGAAGAAGAAAAAGAAGAAGAAGATGGTGGTCGGATCGGAGAAAGAGAGGAGAAGAAGAATGAAAAATGAAGAGAAAAAGGGGAAAAAGAAAAGATAAGGAGAACCGAAGAAGAAGAAAAAAAATAAAGAGAAAGAAAGAAAGGAGGAAGGAGGATAGTTTTGGAAGAATGTGGTAAAAAAATTAGTAGAATGGGAACATCATTTTCGGACGAAAAAAAACGTAAAATGGGAACATCATTTCCGGACGAAGGGAGTAGTTTTTACCGTTATCGTTTTTGTAGATTAGTCAATAAATTTTGGAGACAAAAATTTATCCCATTATAAAATTTAATTAGGTGGCCATATTTAGATACTGGACCTAATATAATTTTATTTAGTAATTTTCGGAATTACTGTTTCGGGTATTTTTATATTATTCTTATTAAGTAGTTTATGTGTAGAATACTTGTTATTTGTGCCATAAACACTTAATATTTATGAAAATTAGGTTTTATATTTTCTGTGATGTATTTGACATGTCAATATAACTCAGAAATTTTAAAATCAATTTTTGGAATTAATTTCCTATTTTTCTATTTTTAAATTCGTTTATTGAATAGAAAATAGGAAAATTATTTTTGACAATCAAAAATTCATTTTAATTCAAAATAGGTTTCTACCAGAGATTTTAAGCTTGTATAAAAAGTTTCATAATTTTTAAGCACGTAAAAGTATTTATTTTGTATTTTTAAAGTAATTGGATCGGTACTATTCACTAGTCCGATTTTTAATTATTTAAAATTGCAAACTTAATATTTTAAATCCTGGAAAAATCATATTCTGGTTCTGGAACTTAGTTTTGACTTGAAAAATAAATTTTTATAATTTTGGAATTTCGAAATATATTTTCACAGTATAATTTCGGTTTTCTAGCTTTGAAAAATGGTTTTCAAAATTTTAAATTTTATTCATTCTGGAATTTTAGGATTTCCAGATTAATAAAGTTTACTGGGAGTCTCCAATAATTATTTTCTAATTTAGAAAACATATATGTATTTAATTCGAAATAAAATCCCTTTTTCGAATGTAAATATATATATACGGTAAATATAAAATATTTTATTTTCTGGAATTTAGAAAATAAAATTTCTAACATTCTGTAAATTTAAAGTATTTTATGATTTTTAATTAAATTACTTGCTAGTTTCATTAATTTATTGTTGATAGTTTATTCCGTAGAATAGAATAAACTAGGTCTGGGGCGAGCGCGGTTCGCCCGGTGTATGCTTTAATATGTATGATGTGATGCATGTGATGCTTGTATGTATTATTTCATGGTGGATGATTGTGGCTTAGTTATATTTCTTATAATTTTAAATACGGCATGCGTGTCGTGCCTCATCTCTATACTCTGGATGTAATTCTCTTCTTTACCTCAATATTCTTTTCTCTCAAAAATTATAAGAAGAAAAGAAGACGAAGTCCGTTCGTGATGGAGAATCGTAAGGAAGACGTGATGGGCCGGAGATAGAGATCTCTTGATCAAGGCGCTGTCGTTTGTTTTTCTTTAGGAGCCACAATCATTTCTTGTTTACTTATTATGCATGTGATGTATGATTGAATGTATGCATGTATGTGATTTTCGCTAGTGCATGCGCGCGGTGTATGCCATAGGCAAGACTGCGTAATAAATCCCTCATAATTTTAAGTCTATGCCACCCCGACGCCCCGTCACTCGTCAAACCCAATTTAGATCGGTAACGGACTCACCCAAGTGAGACGCCCGGTTTACGTTGGTTAGGCGCGAAACCCGTAACTAGGGTACTGACTCGCCCCGGGTTAGTCTTAACTAAGTCTTGGTCATTTGGATGAGAGACTTAGGGCACTGCGGTAGGATCAATAGATAAAATCAGATCATCCAACCAGAGTTGTAACTTGTTACAATTGGAATTTATTCCTACCAGAAATAATTTAACTGTAGGGCAAGATGCAAAGCACAACTATAGTTAAATGAAATATGGATCTGGCCCAATTAAGAATTTTATCTAAAAGAATCCACCGAACCAAGAGTTGTAATAACAATTACAATTGGAATGAATTCCTACCTAAATAACTTGACTGTAGGGCAAGATGCAAAGCACAACTATAGTTAAGTAAAATATGGATCTTGGCCCGCTAGGGTATTCTTCTCACGAAAAAACCCCAAGTCAATAGGTTCTGTACCTGAGGGTAATTGACTTGTTAGAAATAGTGGGAGAGTATTTAATAAAGACCTATTAGATACTTAATTCATGATAATAACTATCTTCGCAAAATTCTGTAGATGGCAAACAACAACACAAACAACCTCCCCCTGCATTCCATTCTAGATAAAGATAAATTGAACGGAACAAACTTTGTTGACTGGCAACGCAATCTCTCCATTGTTCTCCGCATGGATGAGAAAGAGTATGTGCTCGAAAAGCCCATTCCTCCTGCCCCTCCTGCTAACGCCCCGAAAGCGGTTAAAGATGCCTACGAGAAACACGTTAAGGATGACAACCAGGTTAGCTGTGTCATGCTGGCTACCATGATAACCGAGCTGCAAAAACAGCACGAGGACATGAAGGCCCACGAGATGATCGTGGCCTTGCGGCAGCTATACTAGGGGCAATCCAGGCATGAACGTTTTCTTGTAAGTAAGGCTCTCTTTAGTTGCAAGCTCTCTTCAGGGAACCTGTTTGGTCCGCATGTTCTCAAAATGATTGGTTACATAACCAATCTAGAGAAACTCGGGTTCTCCTTGCAGAAGGAGCTGGCAACGGACCTGATCCTGCACTCGCTCCCTGAGTTGTATAAGGGTTTTGTCATGAACTACATGATGCATGATCTTGACAAACCCCTTCCAAAGCTTCTTAAAATGCTCCAGACTGCAGCGGAGAACCTTACTAAGGGCAAGGGTGCTTCCGTCCTTATGGTCCAAGGCGGAAAGGGGAAGCCGAAGAAGGGGATTAAGATTAAGGCTAGGACGGTCAGAAAGCCTAAATCGAAGTCCACTTCATCTACAACCCAGAAACCTGTAAGAGGAGTTGCAAAGGGCTTTACAGTAGTGACACCATTCCGTCCGGTGACCTCCTCTTTGACGTTCTGTATGGAGCGTTGGTTCTTCTTCCTTCCATGCTGGTAAAGAAGACTCCACATACAATATCTTCAATTGTACAGATATAGAAGTAGTACCCATGATCTATGACCTACACCCAGAGTATAGACATGATGGTACGTGGGACTGAAGCAGAGTATACGGTTAGCTCGACGCGAGATTGAACTCCGAGTCGACAATGATGCACCTGTTGCAGCTTTGGCAATCGGAACTTATAGTTTAGTCTTGCCTAGTGGTCTAATGTTGGAATTAAACGATTATTTGTGCGTTCCTGCAATTAGCAGAAACATTATTTCTGTTTCATGTCTTGATAAGAGTGGTTTCATCATTTCTATTAAAGACAAGTCCCTTTCCGTTTACAGAAAGAATGTTTTCTATGATAATGCCAACATGACCAATGGGTTATATGTCCTTGACTTGGACATGACTGTCTATAACATATCAGCCAAGAGGAACAAACCAAACGGTTTGAACCAAACATACATATGGAATTGTAGGTTAGGCCATATAAACGAGAAACGCATATCTAAGCTACATCGGTCGGGAATGCTGGAGTCATTTGATCTTGAATCATATGACACATGTGAATCTTGTTTATTGGGTAAGATGACCAAATCTCCTTTCACTGGACACGGTGAAAGAGCTGGTGATCTTCTGGCACTCATTCATAGTGATGTGTGCGGGCCTTTCAATACAACTGCACGAGGTGGTTATTCATACTTCATTATATTTACTGATGACGGCTATGTGTATCTCATGAAACACAAGTCAGAATCCTTTGAAATGTTCAAAGAATTCAGGAATGAAGTTGAAAAACAACTTGGCAAAAGTATTAAAACACTACGATCTGATCGAGGTGGAGAATACTTAAGTGGTGAGTTCGATGACTATCTTAGAGAGCATGGAATTTTATCCCAACTCACACCTCCTAGGACTCCACAATGGAATGGTGTCTCTGAAAGGAGGAATTGAACCCTGCTTGACATGGTTCGTTCTATGATGGGTCATTCGATTCTACCAGAATCATTCTGGGGGTATGCGCTGAGCACTGCAATATATACTCTTAACCGAGTTCCAACCAAGGCGGTTGAAGGAACACCATACCAGCTATGGATGGGCAAATGCCCGGTTCTGTCACACTTAAAGATTTGGGGCTGTGAGGCTTACGTCAAACGTCTTATGACGAATGGCAAGCTTGACGCCAAGTTTGATAAGTGTTTCTTCGTGGGATACCCCAACGAAACTCGAGGGTATTTGTTCTATCACCCTATCGATAAGAAGGTATTCGTTGCTCGCAATGGCATCTTCCTCGAGAAGGAATTTCTCTCCAACGCAACTAGTGGGAGAAAGATAGAGCTCGAAGAAATTCGAGACGGCGAAGAAACTACCGCGCTGATTCAGGAACATGAGCTAGAGGAACAAACCGTTGTACCTCAAAATGCTCAAGATACACAAGAACCCCGTAGGTCTAACCGGTTACGCACACAACCTGAAAGGTATGGATTCATCCTAACCTTTGAGGGTGACGTAATGCTTATCGACCAGGATGAGCCGGAGACCTACCTCGAGGCAATCAGTTGTCCCGAGGCTAAGGAATTGCGTCAAGCCATGTATTCCGAAATGGATTCCATGTACACCAACCAAGTATGGACTTTGGTTGATGCACCCGAAGGGATCAAACCCATTCGGTGCAAATGATTTCAAAAGGAAGACTACATGGATGGTAAGGTACAAACCTTCAAGGCACGATTGGTAGCAAAAGGATATCATCAAATACATGGTATCGACTATGACGAAACTTTTTCTCCAGTTGTCATGATTAAATCCATTCGGATCTTACTTGCTATCGCAGCATACCACGATTACGAAATCCGGCAGATGGACGTCAAAACGGCTTTCCTTAATGGAAACCTCCTTGAGGATGTCTTTATGACACAACCTGAAGGGTTTTGCGCTCCTGAAGAATCTACCAAGTTATGCAAGTTGCAGCGATCAATCTACAGATTGAAGCAAGCCTCACAGAGTTGGAACATCCGTTTTCTCGAAACCGTCATCGGCTTTTGTTTTGAAAGAAATTCAGATGAATCTTGTGTATACAAAAAGGTCAGTGGGAGTGCTGTAGTCTTCCTTGCTCTGTATGTTGATGACATACTACTCATAGGAAATGATATTCCTACTTTAACCACCGTCAAAACATGGTTGAGTAAGAGTTTCTCTATGAAGGACTTGGGAGATGCCAGTTATGCACTTGGCATAAGGATCTATAGGGATAGATCACAGAAGCTGTTAGGTCTAAGTCAAAGTACATACATAGACAAGGTCCTCTCTAGATTCAGCATGTCTGAATCGAAACGAAGAAGATTGCCTATGGTCCAAGGCACGAGTCTTTCCAAGACTCAGGGTGCTTCCACTGCAAAGGAAGTAGAACGCATAAGAAATGTTCCTAACGCGTCGGCCATTGGATCCATCATGTATGCGATGGTATGTACGAGACCTGATGTCGCCTTTGCTCTGAGTGTCACGAGTAGATACCAGTCCAACCCCGGCGAAAGCCATTGGACGTCTGTGAAGAACATCCTTTAGTACTTTCGCAGGACTATGGATGCCTTCCTGGTATATGGCGGAAAAGAAGAGCTCAGTATTGTCGGATATACTAATGCCAGCCAAACCGATAGAGATGACTTCAAGTCACAGGCAGGGTATGTGTTTTGTTTGAATGGCGGAGCTGTTACCTGGAAGAGTTACAAGCAAGATACTACCGCTGATTCCACTGCAGAAGTAGAGTACATGGCTGCAGCCGAGGCAGCCAAGGAAGGTGTGTGGCTCAAGAATTTTATTACTGAGCTTGGAGTGGTTCCTAGCATCAAGAACCTATACCGTTGTTTTGCGACAACAATGGGGCAATTGCACAAGCGAAAGAACCTCGGTCTCACCAGAAGACAAAACACATCGTTAGACGTTATCACATCATACGAGAAATCTTTGCACATGGGGACGTTGAGATTTGCAAGATAGGTATAGACGACAATATCGCGGATCCGTTGACGAAGGCTTTGGGAAAGCCTAAACACGAGAGTCATACGTGGTCCATGGGCATTCGAGAAATGCTTGATTGGCCTTAGGGGAAGTGGGAGATTGTTGTATTTAGGTGCCCTAGCGGCAATCAAATACCTATGTAACTGTACACTTTATCATGAATGAAAGTACTTGAGGTATGTTTTATATCTCGTGTAATATAACATAGCTTCAGTCCATAGACGATAGCGCTTTAGTAACATAGATGAGGAATACGATGGTCTGATTATGAGATTGTTACTTCTTGACGAAGGCTATGTCTAGAATATCCCTAGTCGTATTTTATGATAATACGGACGTCATAACGTATCAAGACTAGTACGTACGAGATAAGATAGTTGCGTCTCATAGACTATAGGTATTGTGATATCTTAATCTGTACGTAGGTGCATATTATATCGATAATATGTGACTGGATTGACCCATCTTGGGAATACTGCATGGATCTACAGTAATGTGTTTATCAATGTTCTCAATTCGACCTTGCTATAACTATCCTCAGACTTGAAGTTGTTACATTCTCTGATATGTGGGGTCGTATGCTTTGATTCGTAACTAATGCTATCTGAAATACTGGTAGACGTATAGTTATGCATTGGGTATGCTGCTAAGCATATTTGGAGATGTGAATAACAGATACAGGATCTATCCCTTCTACTGTATAGAAGTATAATGTCAATGGGCCCACTGAGTAGTAGGACTTGGGAAAGTGCATGGCCATGCCCACATATGTCGCTATCCAGAGACTGATAAATATCTGATCCCTACCAGTCTACTTGAGATTCAGTAATAGCTGATTTAACTATACAAGGATACACATCCCATGCCTTGTGTTAAATCATGACATTTAGGACAAAAGGATAATAGTTATAGAACGTCTTGTGTCGTAGAAGGTATTGATGAGATGAACGTCTTTTTCATAATATGGGGATAATAATGTGTTGCTAGATACCGCTTATTATCTATGGTATTAATTTTATTAATATCATTGCCAGTGTTATGGATACCTAAAGGGTCACACACTTAGGACTTGTAAGGGAGTAGTATACTACACTAGCTAGTGGGAGTAATATTAAATATATAGTTGTGAAAATTATATATATACATATATATATATATATATATATATATATATATATATATATATATATATATATATATATATATATATGTAGTGCCGAAAATATATATATATAAATTTTTATTTTCATCATTTTAATTATATGATAATTATTGATGTTAAAATAAAATGTAATGTGCTTTTAAATTGGGATGGCCGAAAATATCAAAGGGAAAAATACAAGACATAAATTGATTTTCTACCTAATGATATATTTGATTGATATAATCAAATATTTGATTAACAAAAGGATATTTGTCTTGTTGTGTTGGTTGGGGACATTACATTAATCCTAATTTGTTTTGTCCCTAAGCTATTTCCTAGAAATTCATTTAAGTTGTTTATTATAATAAAACGAAATATAATCCCTCCCCATTTGAGTACACTACATTCGGCCATTTAGAGAGAAAGGGGAGAAAAATATTATTTTGTGTTCAAAGTTATTTTTCTAAAGTGTTAGAAATATACACAAAATATTATAAAGAAATATTTATAAGATAAATATTTTTTACTATATATTTATTACTCCCAAAGTAGTATTATTATAGTTTTTACTATCCTATATTAAACTTGCTAGCACAAGTTTAATCTAGGACTCCGGAGCAAGTTCGTGTGGATACGTTGGAGGCTTCATACGTTTGGCGCTGCGTTCATCTCCTCAAAATCATTCCCGACCGTTTCTCCGTTCTCTGTTTTTCATCGTTAAAGTAAATTTCTTACTGTAGCTAGTAATTTACGTAAGTTGTTCTTGGGTGGAATCGAGTTTTGGACTCTAATTTTTTGTTTTCCGCTGCGTCATCCAAGCCTCGTTTCCCATTATGGACATGGTGACTAGGTGGGATGGAGAGGTAGAAATGGTATTGACAATAGTAGTAAATGAGAAAGCAAAGTGGAGGAGGGAGTGGGAGGTGTGATGGCCGAAATAAAGGGAAGGAGGGGAGAGAGGGTTGGGCTTTAAGTGTTGGCTGTTTGGCTTTTGAATATGGGAGGGTATGGGGCTGTTTTTAGGTGTGTAAAGGAAGGAGAAAGGTGTTATGGTTTATGAATGAGGGGAGGCCGACATGATGATGAGGTAAAGGAGAAAAAGGTGGAAGTGTGTTCTTGGTCCTTTGGGTTGTAGGAACAAGAAGCTCTGATACCAAATGTTGTACCCTAACCGGGGGTCTTATTAAGTTGCTATTTTCGGAGGGGAAAAAGGAGTGTTTTTATGATGGAGCAATGGTGGCCGAAATATTATATGGGGATGGAGGAGTTCTTTATGTGTTTTTAAATATAAAGAAAGAAGGAGAATATAATAAAGATAGATATGGTGTGATAAGGGATGGATAAAAATAAGTGTTGGATAAACCAAGGAGTCCAAGGGATATAACACACCCTTATCCTAGCTTGGAGTTGAACCTAGGATTTAATTAAGATATGACACACTCAATTACATATCTAGGATCTAAAACTCACACTTAAGTTGACCAACCTTAAGATATAGAATTAGGATTTTGGCTTAAATAGTATCACACTAGGGCTTTGCTTCGGTGCCTTTCAAAATCAAAGGGCATCCATGCCCCTCCACTAAATGGTTGCCATGTAGATAAATAAATATGAATTTTATTAAAATTATCCACCTCATATTAATTTTCAGAAATTGCAAAATACCCCCGTTTTTTTGAAATCTCTATTCTTATCTCTTCGGTTTAACAACTTCCGTTTACTAGGGAATTTCTTATTTGCTTTGCCGTCAGCGCACGAGAAGAAGGACCCCTGCTTTGCCGCCACAGTGCATCGCCAGATAGTAGCCGGCCGCCATCGTAGAGAAAACCCCCGATCAGTTTGTTTGTCTTCTTCAATCTTCAATCAAAGGTAATAGTCTCCACTCAATTTATTGATGTTCACTTTTGCTATTTAATTTCCAACCCAAGACAAAGAATTAAGTCGGATGTTAATCCACCATCTTCACTTTTCTACTTCTTTACTCTTCTTTAGTGAGTTTCAATTCCAAATTCGAAATCCTTGTGGCAGTGAACACATTTACTTGAATTTTTTGAAAGTAATACTCCGTAGTTTTTTTCTTTCTTTATCATGGGTTCAAAGCTCCTAGATTTTTTCTTTACTCCGTATAATTTTGCCGAATAGGAGGTTCTTTTTCTTGGATTTGGTATTTCAGTATGATTATGGTAGATTTAATTAAAAAAATGCTTTATTTAGTGAGAAGGTTTTCAATTTTGAACTCTGTAGCTTGAATTATGCTAGTCATCAAGAAATCGTTCCTTGTGAATTTGACATTCTTTTATAGATCAGTTTATGTAATTTTTATGGGTTGATCAATGATTCATGTAATTGAGTTAAGAACCGGAATGGGGCAAGTAGAAAAGGTTTAGCTTTTGGGTGCTAGGAAGCCAGAAACCTATTCCAGTAAAAAAAATCAAAATTTGGAATTTAGATCTCTAGTTCAGGCTGAAAGTCAGTGTGAAATTCAGCATTGCAAAAATTTTATTTTTGAATTTCTAGTTTTTGTTTTTTTAAAATGTGAGCATACGTATAGACAGAGTGGAACATTTATACTTCAAGCAACTGTGATACAAAAAACCGAAGAAAAAGTATTGACTTCTATCTTCATTTGATATTTTTGTGAATTTATAGATATAGGGTAATGAGCATTGTTGTGGATGTTGGTCAGAATTATTTTAAAAAAAAAAGCACAAATAATTAACACAAATTAGTAACACTCTACAAAACATAAGCCTCAAGCAATTATATCAAGTTTATCCCCAAGTGCCATCACAATGGCAGATTTGATAGACTTCACTATATGCTCCGTGGTGGTCTCCATGTTCTTGTGAACCTTAATATTCCTCGACTTCTGTAGGAGATAACAACCAGCAGCAAAGCAAACAGCTTTAAGCATTTGTTCCTTTCTGTTCTCCCCTTTCCTCATTTTTATCCCAAACGAACTAATATCACTAGATGAATTCTGTATCCAGTGAGATACACCCTCTAGGACAGATCAAGTACAAAAAAAGTGATCCACTGATTACACCCTCCAGAAGATGTTCTCTTCCCCTTACAAGTATCATTACTTATGTCATGATGTGTTGCTCCCTGCTCTAGTAGAAACCATTCCATGATTATGTGCATAGTTGAACTCCAGCACCCCTCAGTTTGTTAACATATTTTTCGTTAAGTGTTTTTGCGTACTAATAACTGAGGCATACCGCAGTTACTACTATCTCCATTCATTGTTGCAAACTGGGAATTCATCCTCTGTGTGTTCATTGACTTGTCTCTCTTCTTCCACACATTTTGAAACTTTGTCCCTATTGTTAATGCTGACATAGTTGGAATATATGTGCTTCTTCATCCTCTATTATGTGAAACCAATAATAATGATCAGTTGAGTGTCGTTATGTTTTTAAAAAAGTACAATAAGCTTTTCTTTCAATTCTATTTCTCACATATTTATCTCCTACCAAACAGAATACATAAGATATACTCTACTTTCTTTCTTTTCTATTTCTCTCATAATCAGACTGAGGCTAGAAATCATGGGTCATCAATATTTATAACATATATTACAAAAACAAAATAATTACCATTCCATGATTATGTGCATACTGCATAGTTGAAGTCCAGCACCCCTCAGTTTTATTTATGTTGCTTTTCACTATTAACTTCAGAGGGTTATGATTTATATGGTATTTAACTACACCCTTAACAACTGTAGAGCAGTGCTGCTGAGTAATAGGTTGGGGATCAACATGTATCTGGTGCTTATCCTGAACAGACCCTTGGCAAAAATTGGGTTCATACTTACTAAGTTCTGTTGTTGATGCATTTTTTTACCTTTTGCCTATTAGTGGCACCAGATTTTTATCATCTTGCTTTCCCTCAAGATCACTTTCAATGACAAGCTTTCTCATTTGCATTCGGTATTCTTGTATTAGAGCTTATTGAGAATTAACATTGGTAATTTCTACATATGGCAAGTCTTTCTCAATCTCATCATATATGTCTGCAACATGAGTACATTTAGTTTTGCGAATCCTGATTTGGGTACATTGAGAACATATTTTTTGAAAGTTTGTGGTCGTATTCCCCCCCGGTCATCATCACTTTCCAAAATACCAACCGCATCATTTGATGACTCATTGTTAGAAGAGGCATTACTTTCACTAGTGCCCCCTGGTCATGATCACTTTCTTCTAGTTTTACATACACCATCAGTAATGTTACTTTCACTATCACTAGAGATACCTGGTGGAAGTGTGGAACTATAGAGTGATCAGGGGTTTTTTGCTCACCAAAGTAGTCAGGTGAAGTTTGGATTATATCTACTTTTTCTAAGAAAAAAACTAAGGAGTCGTAATGTCTTCATTTTCATTCTAGTAAAATATTACAATTATTAGCTTAAGTTGTTATTCCTTTCATGAGTTTTTTCAGATTTCCTATTCGAAGAATGTTCTTTTTTTTATCTGTTGTTGGTAGTGTTCTTTTGTTGGCTGAAGTTGCTAGTTTGAAAGACTTTGTAGTAAATAGTTGTGGGCTATATTGTTTCAATGTTTAAACATTTTTTAACTTATTCTTACTTGTAATTAAAACAAATTTTTCATTCCTGTTTTCTTTTGGTTTGTTTATTCATATTCTTTATCGTTGTCATGTCTGGCCTTATGTGGTTTAAGATGGTCACTCTAATTAAAAAGAGAATTAAAGAAAAAATAGAAAGAATACTATACGATTATTAAATTTTCTCTTCTTGTGTCATTGTTATCCAGATGGACGAAAATGATTGTGGCTCATCCATGAACACGAGTGATGGCAGATTTAAGAATTCAAATGGTGAAGATCTATCTTATAAAAGTAGTCCTGAAATTGACCATGATGAGATGAATGATGTGAAAAATAACATAGGGGAGGAGTTTAGAAGCATTTATGAGATAACATCTGATGAGATTAATCATCTTGAATTTGATACCTTAGATCAAGCTTGCAACTTTTATGAAACATATGCAAGATGTAAAGGATTTGCAGTGAGGAAAGATGATGTTCAACGAGACGTGAACAATAATATTAAAATGCGTCAGCTAGTATGTAATAAAGCTGGATTGAGGGATAAAAAGTATTTGACTATGTTGGATAGGAAGAAGCCACATAGGCCGATTACGCGTACAAATTGTGAAGCTAGGTTTCGAGTGCACCTAGATTATAAGACTTCAAAATGGATAGTTACATCATTTGTAGAACATCATAACCATTTTTTATGTCCTTCCAAATATGTTCACCTGTTTCCCGCGTATCGAGCCCTGAATGATGCTGACAAGGCACAAATTGATATTTTACACGCACAAGGTGTTAGGACTTGTCATATAATGGGATATATGGTGGCTCAGAAGGGGGGATATGACAAGGTTGGGTTTACAAAAAAAGATTTATATAACTATCTCGACACACAGAAACACGTTAAGATTGAAGATGGAGATGCACGAGCTGCACTAAGTTACCTTCAAGGTAAAGCTGACAATGACCCTATGTTATTTTGTAAGTATGGTGTTGGAACAGATGGTAAGTTAAAACATTTATTTTGGGCAGATGGTGCGAGCATAGTAGACTTTCAATGTTTTGGTGATGTTCTTGCATTTGACACTACTTATAAGAAGAACAAATGAAAACACACAACACAATTGCTTAATCTGTATCTTCTTTACAACAAATGATATATTCTAGAAAATGAATAAAAAAGTATGATATTCAAAACAAGAATGAAATTAGCTTACAACGAGTAGCTTAAAAATTTATGAAATTCAAAGAAAAACTATAAGAAATTCTTAGCAAAAATGAAATTAGCATACAAAGATTAGCATACAACTTTATGAAATTGACAGCAAATATTAGTCAGCCGCAATGAAAAAAAGTTGTGGATACAAGGATTAAATTAAATGAAATTAGGATCAATTAAAAACTTTGTGAAGATATGGAAAATCAGGATTACCTATTGAATTGGGAGGAAGGTGAGGAAGGTGAAATTCGTGATGATTTTGCAATTTCATGCTGGGAATCGTAAACACCTCCCCAATAAGAACTATTTATAATGCGCTGAGGTTGAGTCCAAGAAGAATTCATGTTGACACTTGAAACATAATGAAGAAAGGGAAGATATCGTCTGTAGCATAGCAGGGCACGGCAATACGGCAAGGAGTCCTATTCGGATTTGGGGTTTTTATTTACTTTCTCACCCTAATTTGATTACAAATTATTGGTTACAGAGTAAAATTTTCTACTTTTTAAATCATTTTATATAAAAATTGGTATATAAATAAGATATAAAAATTACATATTAAAAAACTATTTTAAAAATTCAACAAAATATGAAGTGACAAGAATATTTTACTTTATCAAATACTTAATGAAATTGCGTAAACAAGCAAAAGTTATCGAAAGGAGAGGAAAAAAATTGTTATCTATTTAGGGATGGAGGAAGTAAAATTCCTCCTCTCATTGAAATATACAGAGTGGGGTTGAATATGGTACAGTATAATACTCTCCATGTCCACCATAAATCTTTCCAGATTCTATTCATAGAGTCAAGCTTCACTCACTTTGTTTGCTTATTTTTACTAGTCATTTCATAAAATAATAGAGTCTTGTGACCTCTACTTTGTAGAACTTTTCGTGTAGTTTATTACTCCCTCCGTCCTATAATGATCTTCTCGGTTCATTTTACGAAGTTTGACCAACTTTATTTTCAATTCAATTTATTTGATTGTAGGTATAAAACTAAAAAATAAAATTTATATATTTAAAAACTACATAAAAAATTCTACAAAACAAGTGGTGACAAGACTATTATTTTATCAAATACCTAATGAAAATAGGTAAAGAAAGTGATTAAAGTTTGACCGTGTAAAAAATATATGGGAAGAACATTATAGGACGGAGGGAGTACTATATAAATTTTATTTCAAAATTTTTATCCCATAATCAATAAAATTGAATTGAAAATAAAATCGATCAAACCTTGTACGCGTAATGGGAAGATCTTAGATGAATGGAGGGAGTACGATATTAAGCTCGTACTGATATCATATGAAATATTTTGGTTCAGTGTGAGATTTAACGTCGTACTGACCCCAATCTTGAAATTTTTGGTTCGAGATGGTCAGGTTCAATTTTGGATGAAAACAAACACACTTAATTTAAACTTTAATATGTCACAAAAATCAACTTATTAATTATTAAAATAATTTTAATTATTGCTACAATCAGATCAAATCAGACAATATCAAATCAGATCAGGCAAATAAGACGTAGTCTAAATCCAATATTTATCAAATTCAAAACAAATTAAACTAAAATCCAGTAAAATATCATAGCACATTGAAATGACTTGCTAATAAAGTGTCAAACACGACCGAACCCGATGTGACCGACCTGCTAAAGTAAGAATTTTTTAAAATCATATAGTTTACTACTCATTTTTAGTGTATTAATTTATATTTTCAGACAAAATTTTAATGAAATTGCATAATTATCTTATTTTTTTACAAATCTTAAGCATTTTTTAAATTTCTTATATTTATTTATATATCTAAAAATTACTTCAGAATTTATAATAAAATAATCTAATATATTTAATAAATTTATTTTGATATTTAAGATTTATTTAATAAAAAATATAATTGTTAATTTTAATTTAAAAATTTAAAAAACCAAAGTCACAGCCGTTGGGTCGACCCAAACCCGATGGCACTGGATCATGAATACGTAGTTCTCAACCCGAACCCGAATTAACCCGAACTCAAAATAACCCGAACTCGAAGTGACCAAACCCGAATCCGACCTGACCGACCGATTTGCCAGCTCTAACATACGCAACAATAACACAACAACTCATAACAAATAATTATCTAATCTTATTGGAACTAATCTAATCTGATTGAATCTAATCTGATCTGATTGGATCTGATTTTATCTAATTAGATCGAGTGTAAATGAATTTAAATTTGATTTATATTAAATTTAAAATTATTACAAAATTTAATAGGTTTAAAGTATTATAATTTATATATACATAAAAAAGTAAAATAAGAAAATTAGCTAATCATTGATATGTTTAAAATTTTTAAAAAAATATTAAACATCTTTTCAATATCATAATTTTTTAATTCATTAAAAACTAAATAATCTGTATTAAAATAACTAAATATTAGAAAATATTAATGTTATTCTACAAAAATATTAGACCTGTGCAAATAAGGCTCAGGGCCGGATTTGGGCTGGGCTTGAAACAAATTATTAGCCCATTTGCATGGGCGGGCTTGGCCCGGCCCAAATTTGATGGGCTAAACTCTTTACCCATACCCGCCCACCTTAGCGAGCCGAACTGCCCACCAGGCCGCCCGTCTTGGATAAAACATCAAGAAAATCTTTTTTACACAAAAAAAATCAAAAAGAAAATATTGAACTCGGTTTAAAATGTTTAAAATAAAATTACCACTCACCACATTTACATGAAAAACATAATAGAAATGTTGTTACATAATTAATAAATCCATCATACAGATTAATTAAAAAACTACTGTATTGATTTTTGTTTAATAGGGTGAGTGATATAACTATTATACATGAATTAAAGAAAATTTTAAAATTTATATTGTCTAGGTAATTAATAATAAAGTAAATGTATTTAATGAATATGGGCAGACCTATTGGCCCGGATGGACTAAAAGTAACTTCCAGATCCGCCCAAATACAATTTGGGCTTGGGCCGGCCCACCCATGTGAGTATTAAAGATTGTCCATATCCGCCTATTTTAAAGGGCGGGCTGGGCGGGCCGGAGTGGCCGACCCTTGTTTGCACAGGTCTAAAAAATATCTCATTCTATATGTATATTACATAATAATATATTTCATGCCACAAATTAAAGATCATATAAAATTTTAAACACTAGTATTCCTTTCACCTCTATGAATTTCGTCATAACCTCACCCTTGTGTATATTCTATCATCTTAAAGTTTAAAAGTAAGTTTTTTTGAGTATAAAGTATTTATGGTTTTGAAAACTAAGTTTTTTATAATTATTTTATAAACAAGTATTTTAAAATAACTCTTTTAAAAGTATGAAAAATACTACTTTTTAAATTTTAACATTGCTTCCATGCTATCTTAGAAGCTAAGCAATTATTAAAAATAATGGTTTGTATAATAATAATAATAATAATAATAATAATAATAATAATAATAATAATAATAATAATAATATTAATAACAACAACAACAACAACAATACTAATAATAATATAACAAAAATAATAATTAAAATAATAATAGTATTGATTAAGATTTAGGTAGTTGTAGTTTTAAATAAAGTAATGTGATTTAATCCAATAATAGTAATTATTATTTAATCCTTGAAAAATATAAATGTTATTATTTATATTTTTCTTGATTTGATATTATTGAATTTGATCTGATCTAATTGGATGTCATCTGATCTGATTCAATCTGATCCGATCTAAATAAATATGTTGTGATCTGATCTGATTTTAATAAGAATAAGAAAAAATAAGAAAAAAAATTGAACGGAACGGAGCCTAAATTAAGAATTTCAAAGTCTTTGTAGTGTTAAATAATTGAAAATGTGAGATTTGATAATTTTGAAAAAATGATTCAATTTCAAACCAACAAAATTTTTATGCTACAAAACATCAAAATTCACTACTACAGAATATACTTTACACATCGAATAAATTAGCGTTACACATCGGAATATAGCCGCTTTACATCTAGCCGATGGGAAAGGTGCTGACTTTAGACAACGGATAAATATTTGATGTCTATACTATATACAATGGATATTTATCCACTGTCTAAAGTCGGCACCTTCCCATCGGTTGAATATACATCAGATGCTTTTCGTTGTGTAAAGTCATTTTTATCCGATGTGTAAGGTGAGGATTGTAGACCGTGAATAAACCAAAAAAATAGTAACATTATTTTAAAAACTCTAGTGTAAAGTACTTGCACACACTTTTTAAGAAAAAAAATTACTAATAAAAAGTAAGAGTACACTAGGAGAGGACCCAACCGAAGCCTCTCAAAAAAAAGATTACAAAAATTGTCCAATACATTCAACAAAAACCTAATGAAAAACATAGATACATGTAATCAAACCCATAAGTCTGTGTAGTAATGACATATTGTCGTCATTTTGTCTTCAAGCATATAACATTTTGGCAGTATAAGCCTGATGATCACCCTCAATCAGCCTTGAATCAGCATTTCCAACCAAAAGTTTGATGACAAATAGCACAACTAAGCCGAATCTATATCCTCAGCACATACTTAGGCGCAATGTCCCAAAAAAGTTCAATATGCAGACCAACCTAAAAGTACAGATGCAAAAAACTCAGTTCCGAGAGGAAAGAATAGTTGTGGGCAGGTGGTTGCATTGAGTAATCTTGTTAGACATATGAATCTTAGATGCATCATCAAAATAATAATAATTGTTAGTACAAAGTATTATAATACAAATGTTCAGTATTACCAGAGGAGGGAAAATCTCGTTTGTAGCACGGGAATGTGTAAGAGCTCCATCCAGATGTTATATGACACAGAAGTGATAGAGAAGACGACTCTATGCCACCCTATGAAGATACCACATAGCTACAAGGTGAGAGATGGCCAAAGGAAAGCCAAAATCCAACCCCTCCTAGGAAAGACAAACCGACCAGGGAGTACAAAGAAAACAAAGAAAGGAACAAGGGGATCCTATCATACGGCTTGACCAAAGCCACAAACAGGTCAGAACTACAAACACATATAAACTAAGCTATGGCATGACCAATGCCACATAAGATCAAACAAATAAGAAAATACTACTCCAGGGACATGACCAAATGCCACAAACAGGTCAAGAAGACCAAATGCCATGGGATAAAACAAACAACAATAAAAAAAACCCCAAATGCACCATACGGGTAGGACGAAACTCAGAATGCACCTAATAAGGTAGGCCAACAGCACCTGACTACTCAAAATCACACCCACCAAGGTTAGGAAAATATATTATGAAGCAAAACCTTGATGGGACACAGAATCAGGTATGCTCAGCTTCTACTTAGAGGCAGGCCTAACTTATTACCACAGCAACCTGGATGGGACACATAATTAGATTTGTCCAGCACTGGTACTAATGAAGCAAAACCTGGATATTCTCTAAGATCATACTGACGTAAAGATTGTAGTTCATGGCACATATCAAAAACATACAAGAATTGGGAAGATTGCACCCATAATACCCTAACTTCTCCATAACCCTAGCTGAGTAATGGCTTCTGTTCTGAAAAAGACTAACAAGAATCAGCAACCATACAAAGCATCCAAATAAGACCACACACACAGCCATAATGAACAAGGAAATACCACCAGAGCAACTAATCCATCTCATAGTAAGGAGGGGGTCAGAATAGGCAAAGAAATCAATAACTCTTATCGATTGCCTATTCTTTTTCTTTTTCGGATATTCTCTTCTGCTATAAAGCAGTAATTAAGCTGAATAAAGGTTTAGCCTATTTCATGAAGCAATTCAGTTTTGAAATTTGGTCACTTTTAGTCTATTAATTGCCTTCCACACAGAGTAATGCTAAACTACATTCAAGATCACAAAGAGATTAACACAAAAAGCAAATTGATTTCTGTAGCATACTCTATACATCAATTCCTTGAAAATTTATTGGCACTAAATTACAATAAAAAAACATTTTATATAAACGAAAATAGACCTCCAACTCCTGAAGCAAGTAGGGAATCCCCTTACTCATATACAACGGGGAGAGTCACTTGTTTCTTCTTAGCACTCTTTTAAGTTGTTTTAGTTTGTTTTATGTTTGATAAGTTTGTGTGCTTGTTCTCTGTTGTTTAGCTACTGTTTGGTTTTTCAAAAAGAAACATATCTGTTTGATTCTCTTGTGTGCTTGGAATAGTCTGTTATCGTGTTTTGGTTCAGTTCTGGGCTAGTAAATACATTTGAGGAGTAAGTTGAGCAGCTGAGGACTGAGGTATGTTCTCTTGACCTCACTTGTACTATCTGTTTTCTTAAATATGGAATCCTGTGCTGAATACCCTGCCCTTTCCAAATCTGATCAAGAAAGAGCACTGGAAGTGTGTAGGATATTTCAAATCTGTGATTATTTTGATGAAATGAAAAAATAAGAGCTTAAGTGTGAAATTTGTTTAGTGGAAGGACATAGCACTCAACAATGCAAACACTTTGCTTATTCTTATTTGAGTGTTCGTATATGTGATCAAACTTCTGGTTTCTCTAATCCTAACATGAACCAACATTCAAATATTTATCAAAATGTTGAATATGCCCCTCCTCAACAAGCTCACTCTGACATTTAGGAATCCAATTTGAATGAACACTCCTTTTCTTATTCAAATTACAATTATCAGCCAAGGGAATCTGATTTTTCTCAACATGTGAATGGTTTTTATGGGTTCAGTTCAGTTTGTGCTTCAAATGCTTATAAAAATGGTAGGAGTAATTGTTATTCTCAACCATTTCAATCTGATTTCTGTGAAAACCAACCCTTTTCTAGTGATAAACTGAATCAAATTTTTGAAAATATGCTGGACAAGGGAATCTGATTTTTCTCAACATGTGAATGGTTTTTATGGGTTCAGTTCAGTTTGTGCTTCAAATGCTTATAAAAATTGTACGAGTAATTGCTATTCTCAACCATTTCAATCTGATTACTGTGAAAACAAACCCTTTTCTAGTGGTAAACTGAATCAAATTTTTGAAAATATGTTGGGAAAATTTGACAGAATGGATTCCAAACTGTCCAACTCTGACAGAGGTATAAATGAACTTTTTCAAAGGCAAATGAATTCTGAAAAAGCCCTGAATGATTTACAAAATGAATTTCAGTCTCTAAATCAGTTTGCAAATATGTTTCAAAAGGAGCCTCACAGTCAAACCTTTGCTTGTGTACAATTCCCTCTTCATGATGAAGTTGAACTCAAACAAGACTTTGAGTTTGAAAGTGTTTATGGATGGGAATATTTTGAATGTGCTTTTGACTCTAAAAATGAATTCTCGCCTTAAAATGAAATGGAGAGAACACCATTTGAGAAGAAATTTGAATCTGATTTTCAAACTTCAAGAGCTGATTTTGAAAGTCATTCTGAATTTGAATGTGATTTTCCTTACCAGACTAAAACTGTAAGAACAAATCTTGAGGTCAAATCTGATTTTAAACTTGATTCTCTCAAGAGAAGTCAAACTTTAAGAGCTGATTATGAAATAGAATCTGACTGTGACAAAACTCAAACTCTAATGCTTGATTTTAAAACTTTTGAGGCTGATTTTGAGAGAAATTCTGAGTTAGAAGCTGAATTTAATGAAAAAAGTGAGGCATTAGGAGCTGAAATGTTAAAGGAATCTGATTTTCTTGGAAAAAGTGAACCCTTAAGGGTTGAGATTGAAAAAGAACCTGAACTAGAGGCTGAACTTGAAGTTTCTAGGGCTGACTTTTCCAAAGATAATGATGCTGAATTCCAACCTCAAACTACACCTTCTATCCAAGGGAATAAATGTGGTTCACATATCCATACAAAAACACCCCCTTGCTGATTTTGTAAAGGCATAGATAGTGGATTAACATCCACCTATTGTTCCAAACCAAAATTTAAGAAAGAATATGCTATATCCTAATTAGGGTTGGAAATTGAATACCAAAAGTGAAGATCAACAAATGGATTTGAGACTAATACCTTTTTGATTGACGAAGGGGAACAAAACCATCGGGAACTTTGTCAGCGATGGTGGCCGGCCGGTGTTCTGGCGTCTCTCTGGTGCGATGCAAAGTGAGTATGTGACGGGAAGGCAGGGGTGCAGCGCTGAAGATAGGGAAAACATTGCGAAATAACACATCAAACAAAAAAGAATTACTCCGTAAATGAGATAACGGGACATGGACGGAAACGGCAGACAGCAGGATGGGATTTGGGATAGAGTTTAAATGCTGGAAAAAGATGGGGTTATTTGCAGATTGTTAAAGATAATATGATGTGGACTAATTATCCACATGGCATCCTATTAGTGGAGGGGCATGGATGCCCTCTCACTTCACAGGGCACGGAAGAAATTCCCATACTATTTAAAGTACTCAAAGAGTAAGGTTTATATTGAAATTCAAGATGTTCATACATGATAAGTCGGGTTTGGATTAGTTCTTTTTATTCTTTTTTAGGTATTTTTAATATTTTTAGAATTTAATTTTTAGTCTTTTAGCTTAGTTTTATTTTAATTTTAATTTTCACAATCTTTTATTTTTCTTTCATAAATAGTACTTTTTAATCACTTTTTTTTACAATTTATTATTTTTATTTTTTTCCTAACCCAAATTATCAGATATCTTATTTTTGGAAAAAAATGTAGCAAAAGGCCGAATCAGAAGTCCAAGTTTTAAAGAAAGAGGTCAAATTTGGGCCAAAGCCCAACTCCTACACTAAAAGAATCAAGCATCCAATCCAATCTCATTTTCTCTCTAGCAACAAAGGAAAAAAAATACGGAGAGTAAAGAACCTGCGTTACTTCTTCCTCGTCAACGGATCGGAAGACCAGCTCCAAATCTCTCCTCCAACGTTCGAGACAATCAATTCTCCAACGGAAATGCTCCAACGGGAAGAATCCTCTTGCTATAAATGGGAGAGGAATTGCAATCGGACAGAAGGGGGAACAACAGAGGAGGAAAAAGGAACGACGACGAGGCAAAAGAGCCGCGGCTCAAGCCTGCAAATACGTAATGTTTTTGAAAATATGTAATGTTTTTTTATATGAATAGACGAGAATTCTTATGCTTGAGTAGTTCAAGGAGACCTTCAAAATATTTTCATCATTAGACGTTAAAGTTTATTAAAGTGTATCAAATGTTCTTCATGAATAATTTGTGCATGGGAGTTAGAATGAAAGAAAGATTCGCTCTTTTATAAACTTTTTCATCCTTTGGAATCATTGTTTGAGCGCTTGAGGTGAGTGGGGGTTCAAAGTGATCCAAAAGGCCTTTGAATTTTTTACTCCGGGCCTTATAGAGAGTTGACGATCCTCTATATGTGGTCAAGGATAAGAATCAACTCGAGCCTTTGAATTCTTTTCTATTTTTAAGTGCGTAAGTTACGTAATATATTGTCTAAGTGCCTATTATACGTGTAATGTTCAATTTGTGTTTGTTCTCTTTTTTCATTTTGTTTCGGGTTTTTGGCAGTGTTCTTGGGTTACCTAAGTTGGAAAAGTTGATTATCTTTTGAGCTTGTTTTCCCCCGTTTTATCAAAAAAAACCAAAAAATAAGAAAAATAAAAAACCAAAAAAATATTTACTTTTCTTCCAACAACCCCCCCCCCCCTTTGTTATATTGTTTTAGTTTATAATATAAGTTTTTTTTACTAAGTTATATTATTAGTGTTCGTTTATAAGTTATAAATATAAGTTTTTATACTTTTTAGTATATATTAAATAAGTGTTTTGTTTTTGTAAGTTATATTATAAGTTCTTAGTTGAATCAGCGGTTGTGTTTCGAGAGATGGAGTCTATCATGGCACGATTTTTTTGGTCTGGCTTGGGAGGGACTCGACGCTACCATTGGGGATCTTGGAAGACTCTGGCACGACCAACGAGGGAAGGTGGGGTCGGCTTCCTTGATTTTATGACTCTGGCTAAGTCTTGTTCGGCCAAGCTCTGGTGGAACTTTAGGACACAAGACACTATTTGGACGGCATTCATGAGGGCTAAGTACTGTAGCCGCGTCCATCCTGTGTCCAAGCAGCGTGGTGCTGATGATTCACACACATGGAAGCGCATGCTAGATGTTCGCGCCGTGGTTGAGCCTGTGATTCGATGGCGTGTACTATCTGGCACGTCTAACTTCTGGTGGGATACATGGTCTGGATTGGGTGCCTTGCATCGCCAGGTCGATGGCTGCAGTGGGTACTGGACTGATGGAGTGGGTGATATGTATCACTCTGATTTTATGATTGACCATGATGCTCTACCCCCTGATTTATTACGGCAGTTGCGCCTTGAGCCGCCATCTCTTGATTCTGATCATGTGGATATTCCGGTCTGGACCCCGTCTACGGATGAGAAGTTTACTCTTGCTTCTGCTAAGGATCTTCTTAGACCGAGGAGGAATGATGAGGTGGAGGACATTATGCTTAAGAGGTGTTGGCAGAAACACTTACCCTATAAGATGTCCTTTCTAGCATGGCGCGTTTTGGAGAGGCGCCTTCCCACTGATGATGTCCTGGCGAGATTTGGCTTTGCTTTGCCTTCTCGGTGCTTATGTTGTTCGCCGCCAGGACGGGAGACCATTACACACATTTTCTATCATGGGAGCATGGCGCGGCGTGTTTGGACTTATTTCACAGAGTCTGCCCGTAT